GACCTGGCTGTTCCGGCAGGCCTGGGGCTGTTGATCAATGTCCAACCCTACTTAGACAGAATGGATGGTGTGCAATTTTAACAACTGTATTTTTACCTTTAATTTTTAAATGCTTTTTATCTTGTCTGTCAGTCGCCCAGAGTCCCATGGGATTGGGCAGCATACAAATTTTATTAAATTTCAAAATTTCAAATTTCAAATCATCAATGAAATTTTTGGAGAGTATTCTGAATTCTGTACCATTCCCACTTAATATTCCATTCCAGTTCAATGGGAACTAAGCACTTTTTGATTATAAGTTTTTAATAAGCTGTGAATCCACCAAACATACATACTATCAGATATTATGAATGTTAAATGTTTTCCTGAAATATAAATATATTACGTCCGCTGCATTCCCAAATCTACTAAGAAATTTATACAAACAAAAAATTTGGTAATGTCTTGCAAACCTCTCCTTGTCAAATCCATGCTGATTTCAAGGAATTGTTACTAACTAGTACACAGTACTGTGCTGTTTTATAAAATCTTCCCACATACAGCTATCAAATAGTATGAAGTTCCCAATATTCATCTATGGGTGGATACATCTAAGTTTTGATTTTATTTGTAACAGCAAAATCTTATGCAATATACCAAAAAGGTTTAACACAACAACCTAGAATATAAAGTTGTACGTGTTTCTGGTGTTCTATCCTAATAGTATCTTACATTTTAATTAACTTCAAACATAGGGGGAAAGTGCATGGAAGAATTTGATTCCTTTAAAAATTAATATTTGAAACACTCACTGCTTTCTTTTTAGGAACTTCTTCAGATTCTGTTTCATGATGAAGAGCATTTCCATCTCCTGTTTGATCTTCACCATCCTTATTTGCAGTTTTATCATCATTTTCAACAGGAGAATCCCTACGCAGGCATTTGATACTTATGCTATCAGGTTCTTCATCCAACTTTCTCTTTAGCTTTCCACTCTCTTCTACTTCAGCCATATTAGCTGAAGAGCTTGTTACAGCTGCAAACAAAAAACAATATTTTCTATTATTAAACAAGACTCTACTGACAGACCAGTCTGATAAACTGATGTCTACTGGGTCATAAAGCATTCCAAACAACTGGTAAATAAAAAATCTTGAACTCAACTTTAATTATGACATATTAATGAAGCAGTTAAACAATTGTGTTAAATTTGAATTTGAATAATTAAATTAATTTTTAAAACAGGTTCATATTCAAACTAATTTTGAGCCACAAGATCTATCCCATGTTATTCAAATAATCACCTTTATAAGGTAGTCCTTGACTTACGACCATAATTGAGCCCCAAATTTCTGTTGTGAGACCTTTAAGTGAGTTTTGCCCCACTGTACGACCTTTATTGCCACAGTTGTTAAGTGAATCACTGCAGTTGGTAAGTTAGCAACCCAGTTGTTAAATGAATCTGGCTTCCTCATTTACTTTGCTTGTTAGGGCGCAAAAGGACATGACCTTGGAGCACAGTAATGATCATGAATACGAACCAGTTGCCAAGCATCTGAATTTTGATCACATAATCATGAGGATGTTGTAAATGTCGTAACTGTGAAAAATGGTCACAAGTCACATTTTTCATTGCAGATGTAATTTTGAACGATCACTAAACAAACTGTTGTAAGTCGAGGACTACCATAATAACTTCTATTGCAATGAATTTTTTGCTTATTCTGCTAAGTAAAGGCAGTTGCAGGCTCTGCCTTAACAATCAAATCATGCACATTAAGCCAATTGCTATACCTTTCCAAGATATCCTAGTACAATAAAACTCATTCCAACCAAATGTTCTTCTCACATGACTCCTCTAAGCACCTTAACTCACACTAGATTATTGAGATTTACATTCTTAATCCTATTTTTACTGGTAAATCCAGAAAAAAATGTCACCTGTGCATGCACATAAAGAACATAGGCTAAATTTTGAAGCAGCTTCATTAATCTTGCAAAAGAAAATGGCAGCATAAATTCAAAGAGGTTAGTTAGTTCAAAGAGATGCTTCATTCTTATTAATGTGAACTGCAAAACAATTTCAAACACTTTGCACCATTCTAACTTTTAATGTCCTAAACTGTTTTTCCTTTCATTTTCTTCATATCTGTCGGTAGGCAGATGAAAGAGAAAAAAGTGCCTTAGCCTTACTACTTTTCCTTCATGGTAGCTAATTCTTGGAGTGTGGAAAAGAAGTTAAGGGCTTACAATGCAATGGCACAAGTCAGAAAAAGAATAAACCCAGTAAAAGATCTCATCACAACAGCCGCCTTATCAAAAGAATTTCAGATGCACTGACTCTTTGAAGTAGCCCTAAATGAACTACTTTACTTTCGGGGAACTAGTTTTCCCAAATACAGTAAGAACTAGGAAAGAGGTACATTTTAAACACAGTCAGAGGATTGAGTTATTGGAATGGCAAGTTCCATCTAAAGCAGTGATGGGCAACCTTTTTGGCGTGGTGTGTCAAAAATCGGCAAAAAATCGAGCATAACT